AGGCGAAATGCCGGTTGTGCTTAATTTATTTCCAGGTGTATATATGAAACGATTTATCTAAAAATAAGATACATGTATTTAACCTATAGAAAAGCTGAAGGCCGCTTAAAATGTGATGTTTTATAAATATTGAATAATCTACTAGCCTGTTCAAACATTTTTATTATGGAATATATACGTATTATTTGATAGACTGAACTACATAATTGGATACTTGTTATAGATTACCATACATTCTATTTTTCCATTAGCTTATTATTATGGACATGCCAATAAAAAAATGTAATACTAAATAACCTTCTGAAAATCATATATGTACAGCAGTGCCATATTTCTGATTATATGTCGTTTTTTGAACTCTAAGTAAGGCCCTGTCACATCAGACTGCGCTTTCACTGCGTTTGCACGGCGTTGTAAAATTTAACAAAGCGCCGCGAGATCGCAATAAAAAATGTTATATTTTTGTTGACATTAAGACTTTATGGAGTCTTCACGGCGTCCCCACGGCGATCATGGCGATGTTACGGAGCTTTCACGGCGTTTTAATTGACGATTGTCTTCGTTCGGATCGCGCTTCTACGACGTTCTTTGCGCTTTCACTGCGCATTTACGGCGGTCATACTGCGTTCTCGCGGCATTCACACTGCCCTGAAATCGTAAAGCTCTGTAAAAGCGCCGTGTACACGCAGTATAAGCGCGGTAAAGACGCCGCACAAACTCCGTACAAGCGCCGTGGATAACCACCGCGTTCATTCGGCGTTCCTTTTGCGCTTTCACGGCGCTCCTGTTGCGTTGTAGGAGATGCTACGGAGTTGCTACGGCGTCCTATCTGCGATCCCACTGCGCTCATTTTAGAACGCCGAGTGACGGCGTTTGTTTTGAACATGCTCAAAATGCGCGCCGTCTGTCGGCGTTCTATGCGATGCCACAACGATGCTACGACGATGCTGCGGCGATGTTTGCGATCTTACTGCGCTCACCTCGGCGTTCTGAAGTTTCACTGGACGCTGTGAGAACGCCGTCCTAGTGTGACAGGGGTTTAAAGTAATATTGCTCATAATATGACCTTTATTTAATGATTTATAATTTCTAATGATATAATATTTAATATCTATGTTCTGTTTTATTTCCAAATACATTGTAATATGTAATGTTATATATGTGATTGTAAACTGTTCATATGTCTTTATAAATGCAATGTCAAATTTATGAGTAAATGCATGATCACATTGAATAGCATATGTGATAATATGCAGTATGTATTTTCTGATTAAATACAATCTCATAGTTCTAATTATGTGCAATTTCATAGTTCAAATTAACTGTAATATCATATTTCTGATTATCGATTGATGTGAATTCAGGTTAAAACACAAAATGATAAAAGGCTTGAATTACTTAAATTTATAAAATAAATAGAATAAGGTATTCATAATGATCAACTCATAAGGTAACATAAAGCATATTATTTAAACAACATATTATTAAAGCATAAGATTTGACCAGATAAGAAACAAAAAGTTATGCATATATCACAAAAGGTAGATTATCACAATTACTTATACAATGATAATATTAATCACGGGTTTTCTTTGATATATTATAGAAAAAACTGTAAATACTTGAAATAAGACACCATCTAATGTAAAGATAGTAAAAGCCTAGAATTACCTATGAAAGGTAAAAGGCTTATATTCAAAGGTGCCCATTGATTATACTTGAATCATTACACATTCAATATTGGTCTTCGTATATTAATATAAATGAATTCTTTCAAGAATAAAAAAAGTTTTTTTCATATATGATGGCACTTGTGATTTATAATCTTAAAGATAAGTTGCTTATTTATATTCTTAGCATTTAACAAAGACATATTTGACAGGTTGTTCAGGTTAATACCTTCTCTTACATCCAGACCATAAATAAATCTAACAATTGTATTTTACTTATTTGAAATATGTCTTTAGGACATTTCTTTAGACTTAGGCACCAATAAGTACAAGGATAATCTATGTGACATTGAATCGAAGCAAAACACAAATAATTTCTTGTCTTAGTATCTAATGATTTTTGGTTTCTGTTCATAAATTTTAGACGTGAGCTTACTCAACTGACAATATTATTACCAATACTGTCATCTGGTTATAAATTATTTTCATTGACACAAGATAAGTTACGCTTTTTCACTCAATAGTATGTCCTTTATAATACATAATTCTAAAATATCTTAACAGTTTCAATTTCTTTCCCAACCAAATAAAATTATATAATCAGTTTCCTCTACATGTAGGTATTAGCCAATTTTAACAGAACCCATTACACTTTTTGATCACTATCACCAGCATATAAAATGAGTTTGCAGTCTGGGTCAGTACATATAAGCATGTCATTCGCAAAACATAAAAATAGTAGGGAGCCTTAAACATTGCCTTGGGATACCGCATATTTAAGGTTCAGTAAAAATATTGAAGCATACACTTTGTAATCTTCCAGACATATAAGACATAAAGCGGTAAGCGTTGTGCAATAAATTTAGTGGTCAAGGCCGTCGACTTATCGTCGTTATAATGGTTAAGGAACTCCAGTGAGATCCAAACGCCTTTTTGAAAACAAAAACAAAATTAAATTCTTATTCTAATCAGATGGCGCACTGAAAACAGAAAGATATACAAAAGCTAATATTTATCAGAAATAAATTGAAAATCGTATTTTATGCTATTCTTAGCCCGATTTTAGTGAAAAATGTACTGGAAAAACGTAAAGAGCAAATTTTGCACACAAGTTATTTGTCTGTATCTTCATCAAATAGAATACGTTTCAAGTCCCGTGACGTAAAAAATAATTGATACTGATACTGGTTTATGTCATACATGTATTTCTGATATTGTATATTGTATAATGTCATATTTCTTATCATATGTCATGTAATGTTTCTGATCATGCGTTATTTCATATTTCTGAGTATGTGTTATGTCAGATTTGTGGTTATAGATAATGTCATAATTCTCATGGTTTGCAATGTGATATTTAGAATGTCGGAATGACCGAGGGGTTAACGCGTTGGACAAGTAATCTAATGATTCAAACCCCGACATGGGCAAGTCGTTGTTTCCTTGAGCAAAAAACTTTACACTCATTTCTCAGTACTGGTTGGCTCCAGGAACGGATTCGAAAGTGTGTCTATAAGCTTATAACTTCCTCCACAATCGAACTGAAATAAATTCTGTGTAAACTAATGTGATATACGAGATCAAATTGAATGCCAATTTGGTTTTTTAAATAACTGTATGTCTCCTTTCTGCAATGCTTAACGAATGATGTCATATCTGTTAACATAGTAACCATTCTTACAATGATAAACAGATCATTGTTACTCGTTCAAACGTTACAAAGAACAATTATATATACGATACATGTATCAGAATGGTTTGCTATACATGAAATGGTATATTCTGCTTACTAAGGTGGTTATAACACTTAAAAGTAAGACATAAGATGTACGTATCATATTGACACGTCTTATAATCTGTAAAAGGTAATTGAAAAATCAGTTTGTGTGACGAAGTAGGGATCTTCAGTATTGAAGGGGGTTTATCAACAATCTTACGCAACTCAAGTTGCATTTTTCTACACGTACCGTCCAAACATATCAAAATCTGTGACAGGTAATATCGACCATGTATTGAGATGATATTACAAAAACCTAACTGCAAAGATATTTACATGAAAGTTTTCTCTTCAAAAGCGCAGTTATAACTTTCATAACGACACCTGCAGGGTGGCTTTTTTGAACCTTTATTGACAAGAGGGTTAGCATAAGCTCTTGGTCCATATTGAATACGGAAATGATAAATTGCTTATCTGAAAAACAGGAATTTTGTGATTTTATTGTAAGACAATAATCGTTTCCATCGACTTCATGCAAAGGTTCTCTAGAAAAAAATAGAGAAATAAAAAAGATATTTTGTATTTACTTAAAAAATAGTTTGTTGTTTTTTGTAAGATATAATCAATATGTTCGTACCAGATTGATGTCATTGAACCAAGACTTTATAATAAGTGGACCACCTACTACGCCTAAATAATTCGTATATGTGGTGTATTAAAAAAACATAACAAAAGAAACAACAACAACAAACCAAAAACAAACAAAAAAACTCTCACGTAATCCAAGTAATATTAATTAATGCCAATTTGTATGATACACACAACATAAAAATACATATATAATGGAAATATTCAAAATATCGATTCATAATTGTGTTGCATCATTTACATTGCCAGAATTTATCAACTGTAATTTTCAATAAGTAAAGAACTACAATCACGGACATAATTTTGGCTTTATTTCATTATGTTATTTACAGTTCAGTTTTTAATCATGAAGTTTTTGAATCCAACCTTTTTCTATTTTGCAGTTCTAATGGTGTTATGTTTTCTATATTCTTATAACGTACAGTCTGATATTCGAAATAATTTAGGATTAAATGTTTTATGATTAATGATTCATTAGGTGTTATTGTTGCCATTGTTAAGATATGGATAGAAGGAGTATAAATCAGAAACATTTTATCTTATATCAAACAAAACACAATCACAAGAGATAAGATCTTCGTTTATTTATTACCTTCGTGTAATTATTGTGTAGGTCAGGCGGGCTATCTGGTGTATGCACAATATAATAACGATATATCTAGACCAGGTTTTAAGATTTTATCTCGTTGGTTTTAAGGACTATTTTGAGAGCATTAAGTGAGCTTGGGGTGGGGATTACGTAACTTTTATCACTTAGAGCTGTCAGACAAGTATCAAACCTTAAACCACATGGCTTTCACTTAATCCCATCCAGATATATTTTGAAAATTATAAGATATTGAATAATCTGTTTCCATAAAAGGTTATATCAAAAACTTCAACAAGGGAAATTAAGTGCAATTACTTCATCATTTCTATTTACTATTTTATGGACAATGTTCATATCGTTTTAACTTGTATTCCAGGTGCCCAGTATTCAATGGAAGATGAGAACAAGCGAACAAGAACAGCTTATACTAGAGGGCAGCTTCTCGAGCTTGAAAAAGAGTTTCATTTTAACAAATATATTTCACGACCTCGTCGGATAGAACTTGCTGCCATGTTGAATTTAACAGAGAGACACATAAAAATTTGGTTTCAAAACAGAAGAATGAAATGGAAAAAGGATGAAGCTAAGCGACGCCCACGCCCCCTATCAACCGGAAGTGCTGATTCTCCTCCTAGCCCGATGTCGTCACATCCGGATTCCCCGCGTTCCGAGAGCGAAACAGACAATAACAATTCTATTCATACAAAACTTGGTGCAAGTAAACTAGAAATCTCATTGTCAGATATCGATTCAAAGCCAAAATCGGAAAATGATATAGATCAAAAGAAACATTGTGGGGATCTGAAATCTCCTACAACATTATAGAGACAGCTATGAGCAACTTGTTTTCTTGTCAAATACATTAAAATGCTAGTCTCCACTAATACATAAGTCACCATTTAACAAATATTCTACAAATGTGTCTATGATAAAAATCAATAAAAATTCGTCATATTTCTTTCGTCCCATTTAATTCCAATAATTCAACAGAGGATACCTAAATAGTTTACTCTTTAAAAAATTGTGATTGAAAATGTTTTCAACCGAAAACTGTAAAGAATTTTCCCTAAAGAAAAAACATAATCACCATAATTTTTTTCTTTCTTTCGTTGTCTTCCTTCATTCCTTCCTTCCTTCCTTCCTTTCTTCATTCCTTTCTTTCTTTCTTTCTTTCTTTCTTTCTTCCTTCCTTCATTCCTTTCTTTCTTTCTTTCTTTCTTTCTTTCTTTCTTCGCTGTTTGTATTATTTAAAGCAGTATTTCAGTAAGATACTTGTGACAGGAGGTGACCTCAAAGGTTTTCCTGTGATCTGTACCAGTAATAACATAGTAGTGCTTTGAGAGGGCATTCCTGTTTTCAGATTAAGCACTTCATATATACCACTAGGTTGAATTAGCTAAAATTCACAAAACAATCATACTGAATATATCTGGCCGATATATGAGTATTTGTAAAATTCTTCCAGTTAAAGGTTTATTAATATTATTCAACAACAAAAGAATAATGTTTTGTCAAAATTTTGTTTCTTCTCCCCTTCCCCCTGCATTCTCCCATCTCCACACACACTTACAGCATTTATAACTATCTCAAATTATAAATCTTCTTGAGATACGTGTATAACAGAAATACATTATAAAGCTTCTCGAAATACGTGTATAACAGAAATACATTATAAAGCTTCTCGAAATACGTGTATAACAGAAATACATTATCAAGTATCATGAGATACATGTATAACAGCTATACATTATACAGCTTTTTGAGATACATGTACGTGTATAACAGATAAACATTGTAAAGTATCTTGAGATACGTGTATAACAGTTATGCATTATACAGCTTTTTGAGATACGTGTATAACAGATAAACATTATAAAGTATCTTGAGATACGTCTATAACAATTACACATTATAAAGTTTCATACGTGTATGACAATTGTGCATTATAAAATATCTTGAGATACGCCTATACCAGTTATACATTATCAAGTATCTTGAGATACGTGTGTAACAGTTATACATTATCAAGTAACTTGCGATACGTGTATAACAGTTATGCATTATCAAGTAACTTGCGATACGTGTATAACAGTTATGCATTATCAAGTATCTTGCGATACGTGTGTAACAGTTATGCATTACCAAGTATCTTGAGATACGTGTGTAACAGTTATACATTATCAAGTAACTTGCGATACGTGTATAACAGTTATGCATTATCAAGTATCTTGCGATACGTGTATAACAGTTATGCATTATCAAGTATCTTGCGATACGTGTATAACAGTTATGCATTATCAAGTATCTTGAGATACGTGTATAACAGTTATGCATTATCAAGTATCTTGCGATACGTGTATAACTGTTATGCATTATCAAGTATCTTGCGATACGTGTATAACAGTTATGCATTATCAAGTATCTTGAGATACGTGTATAACAGTTATGCATTATCAAGTATCTTGAGATACGTGTATAACTGTTATGCATTATCAAGTATCTTGAGATACGTGTATAACAGTTATGCATTATCAAGTATCTTGAGATACGTGTCTAGCAGTTATACTTGAGATACGTGTATAACAGTTATACACTATAAAGCTTCATGAGATAACTTTATGACTGTTTTACTTTTTCTTATCATACATACATGTATATAACAGTTAACACATAACAAAACTGAACAAGAAAAGCATTGATGCAAAGCATCAAAGGGCGTCCAAGCAAGAAATGCAGCAAGTGAAGATGAACTAGTACACATATGATGACAAGATATTCTTATAAACTACCAGAAATGTATACCACTTATGAATGAGCTGACGAAAGACATTGTTCATTATGAACTTTGATTGGCATGCTAGAGATTAGAATATTACTTGTTATTTCTTTATGATCGTGGTTATTAATAGCAACGGATATACATGTATGCAATCATTTATAATCCATATGTGTAACGCATGATCAACACGTACCACACATTTGTCCCTTATTATGTACATGTTATCGCTATTAGCGAAGACACTTCGTTTGATCCGGGTCGGACTAACTTTGAATCGGCATAACTTTTTTAATAATCAAGCAATTAACATGCGGTTTAAAGCACATGGAAGGGAATTCATTTACGGAGGGAACCGTGTCAGGGATTTTTGTTTGCTCAATCAGCGACTTAATTATCTTTCATTACGTAATATGTATGGTGAAAAAAGTCGCATAAAACGTTTGACGTTACGTAATTTTTTTTTGAGAAAATATAGAAAAAATTTGAGACACGGTTCCCCAGATATTATAAGTATGTTTATTTTCCAAAAGTTTGATGACAAAAAAATAAAAAATGACTTTGATATGACGATTTAAAATTTTAGGATTTTTATTAAAAATCAATCATTTACAAAGGCATTTTTTTCAAATATGTTATTTTTTATGATAATCAACGACATTTAATGCACAAAGATAAAATAAATAACAATTATTACTGAAATAAGTTGGTTTAAATGACATTTATGTGAGTACCACGAAAAGTGTCTGTTGTCACCTTAAGGTATCTGTTCACACTTTAAGTTAGTAAAAATATGACACTGGTTATATTACCATGTTGATCATGTTGAGCATAATTGTTTATTATACAATAATTGTAATATCTATTAATTTTAATTTAAAAAAAATACAAATTTTATGAATATTGTTTTCTTTTATTCTTTTTTGTGTTTATGTGCTATTTTAATACTGAGTTTTTACTACTCTTTTTTATTAAAATTGTAAAATAAATTTTAGGAATTCAATTGTCATATTGACCGACGATTATAAGTCAAAGCTTAACTGGAAAAAGTCAGTAAATTATGGTTTATCTTTCAATCTATAATATTGTTTATTCTTAAACCATGTACATGTACATTGTATTTTTCTTTATCATTTTTTAAATTATCGATCAATTGAATAATTCATGAAATCTAATTTGTAACTTTGAATAATTCCTCGGCATCTTTACTAAACACGGATAACAAATTGAATAATTAAATAAAATGTTTCAAAGTTGATAATGTCATTTTAATACCATAAAAAATGTACCTTTTTCTCAATTATTGTACATATCACGGATTTATATTACATATAAATCCGTGTACATATTTATTGTTTTTATCTCATATAGATAAAATGAAACATGCTATTGTTGTTTTTTTTCTAATTGTAACGATATCAAACATCTACTCCAAAACCGGGAGAGACCGGACAATATAACGTGTGGTACTATTCGCCGGTCACTAGTAAATCCTGGTCAAAATAGACCGGGAGAGACCGGCATTTACCGATAGGAGTGATAAAAAGATATATCTATAAATAGGTTTTTGGAATATTTAGGTCATCAACTGATCATTCTAGGATACATGTACAACAATAACATACCATGACATGATAACCGACTGTGTACTACAAAATGATAAATAAAAAACCCCGAAGAGCGCGATTTATTGACGGAAAAGGTTATTTCATTTGTAAATGTTTGCATTGCGAAAATTCATTGTAACATATCGCGACATTTCATTCTTATTTAATAATCAAGCACCCTCATACCGATCGGAATTTTCGGCATTTATTATGACCGACTAAAAGACTCGAGAAGTTGCTTTCGCCCTTTCTCAAAATCTGATCTCATTCCATAAGAGCGCCGCGCTTCGGCGCGGACGCCAATGAGAAGTATATACTTAAAACACAGTGTTTATTATCCTTTACTGATTAATTATAAATACATTTTTAAAGTTTCATATATAACTCAGACCTTGAATTTTGCGACAATTTGTTTACCTAAAAGCACCGGTTCAATGAATTCGGTAAACATGACGATAACGTTTTGTACGACAAAGGGAGACTATGAATTAACTTTGTCCTTAATTTATTTACAGGGCAATAATGTCCCTTTGATATCGGTTGCACACCGTTTTGATTTGCAGTAATATTATTGGGGATAATACGCCGCTTGTCATGGAATGGCATTAACGTTACACATCGAAGGTTCCATGATAACCGCCGTATGAACACATCTGCGGACGTTTCTAAATTCAAAATTTCACCATTACCATGATAAAGCCGGTGCTAGGGGGTGTGGATAGTAGTTTGCAGTTGACAGAACCGTCCATGAGCAGGATCAATGAAATCGAGTCTGCAACATTTAGAATTTTAACGTTATTGACTTCCATTAGGGATTCTTATTTTGATATTTTTATGTTGAAAGATTAATATCGAGTACTACATTGCAATATTTATATTAAACGCATGCAAATTCAATAGGTACAATAAATCCATTACCGGCACTTATACAGGTAAATATATAGGATCTAACATGAGTTGTAATGTGATAATAAAATTTGATGAAAAATGTTCAGAAAAAATGTTATAAAGCAAGCCCAAGCTTTACGAGTTTCAAATAGTTTATATGAAAGAAATACTATGCTCATCCTTGAGTAAAATAATTTCATCACAGAAATTTATTTAAATCTATGAAATTCAATTTGAATATGTCTTATTTGAATTAAAGAATAAATAAACTATGTATGGGAAGCTGTGTTCCCTATTACAGGTGAAGTTAAGTTACTCTTTTCTTGAAAAATTGCCAGTTTTTTTTAATGTCACTGTATATTCATATCCTGACCCCCTATAATGTGTAGAATTTTTAACAACATATCTTCTCTGTGTGAAGTCAAAACATGTCTATTTTATATTTACAAAGAAACTGTTTAGCAATTATCAATATTTTCTAATATAAAATTTGAGCATAGAATTAATATCTTTAAATGGCAACTCATGTCAGATTCTTTTTATCATGTAACAAATAAACATTTAACCAAAAACACGGTCGACAATTGTTTTCCATTTATAAACAGGCTCTTAATATTAAAGTACCATTATGATTAAATTACACGTTTGTATAAAGAAATATGGTTATGGTTTAAACATGTGTATAAAAGCAAGGAAAGGCATGGGATATAACAATTTGTGCTAATCAATTAACATGTTACAGTATTTGAGCGTGTGAATACTGACATAAATATTCTTAAGCACTATAAAATCATAACACACATACTTTGCTAAAAACTTAATAAGCACAGCACTTTTTTGTAACAATAGCTTAAAGTGAATTAGTCCATTTTGGAATGCATATAATACTACATGTATAAACAATTTTGTTCAAAGTATTTACTATTTACTAGTATCATAAATGACAACAAATCACCAAATAAATATTTATGGATGTTGCATACATGGTCCTTAGTACATATTGCAATTACAAAATTGTTCTACAACAAAATATTATTTTGCATCATATAATAAATCTTATACTTAAGCACTTAGAACTCGATAATCAATTTCTTTTTCAAGAAATATTTTGTATATTAGTATATTCAAATAATATATTGCTATTGTGTTTCGTCAATATTTTAAATACTTGATTTACTTGATTAAAATTTGTCCATGGTAGACAAATCCACTTTTACCTGTTCTGTAGCAAACCTCAACTGGTCGAATTTAAGTGTCGACGCAATTTAAACACTTTTTATTGTTGCCAGAACATTGAAAACGAAAGTCAAGTAATCTAAATAACGTTTATTAGAATAACCATTTTTGTAAAAATAATCAAGAATTTCAGAAGATTTTGGAAGTGGCGGTCTAATAGAATTTTCCAAAGCCAAACTTCCGGAAACTACAAAAAAGAAAATTTCACAAAAGCTGGTTAATATAATAGGTAAAGGGAGATAAATAGGTATATGGAAATGCCGCGTTGTGGTTATCTGTTCTGCAGTGTAGTTAATAATTGAGTGATTTTGAAAAAAGTGCTCATCACACAAAAATGCAATTCATATATTAGAGAATGCTATAGTTTACACACCACGCCACGTAAATGCAAAGTAAATCATGTAATATTATTCTGTTGCAAACTGTTCTGATTTAAAATGTATTCAGAATGTTATAGGAAACTAGCTTTATCTTATAAATGTCTAAGGTCGTACTAATTCCTAATGTCACCTCTTAGCAATCCAATGAACAAAGTAAAACTTTATTGTGTAACGATGGCGGAGTCTTGCATCGAAGTTAAAATATCAACAAAAAATTTCATACAGTTTGTTCTTGTCCTCGTTGCTATCACGACATAATAGATATCAGACCTACTGTTTAAACATATACAGATCAGAGCATCATTTTAGTATAAAACCATCATACAAATCGGGAATAGTGGACAACGACAATAAAGATAATCTTCGGGTATAATTTTGCAAATGAAGACATCAGAAATAGGAAAGAAGTCGGTATGTATGATAATACAAATAAAACAATTTATAACTACGTACCTCATGCACTGCTGCACAGAGTTTCTAGAAGTTTCATTTGTATCCCATCTAAATGGTTGATGTCCTGGACTTGAAAAAGATGGTTTGGTCCAGAAACTATCTGCGGCAGTTCGCTTGTGTTCGTTTGTGAACCGGTGGTAACAGCATATTTATCAACATTTCTAAAATGTGAAGTCACGGTATTGAAAATTACTAACCAACATAGCAAATGAAGCAAAATTAGAATTCGCTTTTTTTTGCTCGCTAATTTTTCTATGGCGATAAAATTGAAAACATTGTAAAAACATGTGAGTCTTCAAAAGTTTTACCCATACGATGTTTTTATCATACATTGATAATTGACAATGCTTTACTGGAGTTGGAAAAGAGCACATCTACAACTATAAATTACTTGTCTGTTAACAGCTGGCAAAGCAGTACTTATTATTAATATCTAATTGCTTAAGAAGAATTAGAAATAATCATCAACGACTACAAATCTATTAGTTGAAATACACTTTAAAGATTTGTGATACAATATCTTACATTTAAAAATATTTATAAGGTTTTATATCTATTTTTATCTAATACATAATAATAATACGTAAATGTTTGGTCACGACGGCCTGCATTAACCATTGACTTTCATTTTTACAGGCTTAATTAACAATTAAACTGAGCCTGTACTGTATCAAAGACGTCTTAGTCTACCTTAAAGATCCCCTTTTCTTACATTGCTGACTTTCATGATCGTGACTTGCTTTATATTAGTGCATTTATGACAATTTGTGATATAATGTTATGTTAAGAAAAACGCCATTTTTGTATATTCTATCAAAATACACACCCTCTAGAATATTCAGTGATTCTATGTCTTAAATAAATTTTATTGTTTTAAACTTACCAGTTCTATATATAAAGTGTGTCAATCAATAATTGGTACATAGTGGAGGTAGTATAAATATAATTAAAGTAAGCTGCATATCCTCTTTATAACATTATGCAATGTCTCGACAATATGTGAACATGATGTCTACTATCACTTACTGTAGGAGATGATCAGTATCATGTACTGTTCTATCTGGGTCAGTGGAGTGACCATCTGTTATAAGAATAGTTACACTCTTGGCATGGTGACGTCCATTGTGGCTGAACTGACTATGTGCTTGATGAATACCACGGTAAGCGTACGACTCTCCAGTTCTGTGAATAAAATATGACAATTCAGGTCAGTAAAACAGCTTTAATTTATTTTTTCCAACAAAAAATAACTTATCTTAAAGGACGTTTGTAACAGTTGTCATATAGAAATAAAATATAGTCAGAATAAAAATTAGGATTCTTTAAACTTTGCATGACTTTAGAAAATCTTATTTGGAACAATACATGTGAAAAGAAATAACGAAAATAGAGGTTGCGATATTGTATTTGTTATTGACTCGAAAAATTACATCTCCTGGAAATTATATTGAAACTGAATTTTCCTTTTCGTTGGATATAGATAATGTTTGTTTTTTTTTTTTTTTTGTTTTTTATTATCAAATAATATTGCATAATGTGGTGTTTACAATTGTGGTAATATAATCATAATCGCAAAGACCGAACCCTTGTTATTTCTTCTTGTCTTGTCAGATTAAGATTTGACAAAATCTTAAAATAAGAAATATTTGCATATTTATATGTATTCATAGCTTAAAATGAGTGACAACATGATTGTTTTACCATTTTAAATGTTTTTATTTCCAAATCGGGATGGTAAGCTTTCCTTATTTTTTGCACAACTGTTTACATGGTTTAGCATTGGTTTTAGACACTTATCATAAAAATATGAAGATATAATAATGTCCGGTTGATAGATGAAAAAAATATAAACGGTTTCTGAACATACATTATCTCGTTTAAATTAACTTCAATTTCTTTTCTTTTTTCTCATATGTTTTTCTTTGTTTTTGTTTGGTTTTTTTCGTGTTTTTTTTTTTCGTTTCCTTTTATTTCAAAACTATGGATGTTTCTTACCACTAATACAGTTATATAACGACGAAATAAGTAAAACTTATTATATAAACATAACAGTTCTGTTTAAATTTATTAACCAGTATGATTGTGTGAAATGCGCAAATGAATATCTACAGTATGTGTGAAATGTAAGTATGTAAGTAAGTAAATTTTAGTATAGTGACATTGTGTTATGTACAATATAATAAACATACATTACAACATTACAAATTACAATACCCGGCCACGTTGGGCCTATAAGTCACTTTAAACTATATACAATTCATATAAATGATTTACAATAAAACATGTAAAGCATAGAAAAATTAATCGGAAATACAGTGGTCAATCATCAAAATTCCATATAAACAAGCAAAGCATATCAAAATTTCAAAAGCTATAAATTCTAAACAATGTTAAGATATGTTATTATATTTCTTGTTATTTTCAAATATGTCTGGTGATATTTTAACATGATTCAATACACTCAAGTAAATTTTTATTATGTAAAACATCAGGTCATTTATAAAGATATAACCTTCTTCTTTTCATACTTTCTACAATAAACTTTGCAGCGCTACATATTGATTTTGTATCACATAACTTAGTTTTTGAATATCAGACATATTGTCAAAGTCACTGCTACTCTCTTTACATTTAGAAATCAAATTAACACGTAAATCGTTGTATCTAGAACATTTCAATATAAAGTGAGTTTCATCCTCAACAACATTGTCAGTACAAAGAGTGCATATTCTTTCATCAACACGTAATCCCACGTATCGTCCTGTTTCTAGTTTGAGCGGAAGAATACCGCATCTTAATTGAGCTAAATGGGACCTTTCTGCTTTAGTTAAGGAAGACATGAGATATTTTTCTGTTTCATAGTCTTGTTTGAATGTAACATATGTTCTCAGCTTTGCCACATTTGTAACATTGTCAGACCAATTTGATTTGTATAGTAAAAGTAAATAGTCTTCAATATTCTTAAAACAACCGAGCGAATGAATATCTACAGTATGTGTGAAATGAGCGAATGAATATCTACAGTATGTGTGAAATGAGCGAATGAATATCTACAGTATGTTGAAATGAGCGAATGAATATCTACAGTATGTGTGAAATGAGCGAATGAATATCTACAGTATGTGTGAAATGAGCGAATGAATATCTACAGTATGTGTGAAATGAGCGAATGAATATCTACAGTATGTTGAAATGAGCGAATGGATATCTACAGTATGTGTGAAATGAGCAAATGAACATCTATGAGCAAAATAATATCTTACATGTATGGTATGTTTCCAATGGCGTGGATTACTTCTGCGACAGTGTGATAATGTTGTAGTTTGATATATGCACGTGCTCCTGTTGAAGAAAAAAACATGAACCAGTATTTAATAAACAAATAAAGAGAATTAGGTACATCATCTTGTTGTATATTCAATGATAGCTAAATAATGTTGTTTTTCTTTAATTCCATATTCAAGTATAGGCTTCACCACTTTAAGTTAATTAAATTAAACTGCCCATCTTTTTGTCTAAATAAAACAATTCGGGAAATTGTACTGACTGAATAGCGAACAGAGAGGATCATGACCAAAAGGTCCGGATGTGCCTGCTGATCTTGGTGTGCAATGGTCACATGAGTACAACATGTTGCTTCCAACAGGATAATTGTATTGGTGACATTGTGCCCATCCAATGGATGTGAGTGAACAGGTAAAAGTCAAAATAAGTTTGCATTAGCCATAATTTCTTTCAATTTTATAATCAATTTTGCATGAAGGCGAAATAACTCACATAGCGCCAGGGGATTTTTATAAATATCCATCGGAATTTACTCGTGACTTTCTATTTATAAAAGAGATGGGCAGTCTATTTATAGTCAGATTTATATTTTATCATTTCTCAAGATTTTTCTATATCAACTATTGGTAAATCACCATTATAAATGACAATTTTTTGAAATACATAGTCAATTTAGCTCAACTTGACAATGAAAAAAAGAGCATAATGTCACTTTAACAAAAAAGAAAAACTCGAAGGAAACTGTTAATAATGAAAAGGAAAAAGAAAACTACTGCAGGCTGGATTCAAAACAGTGATACGTAATGATACTCTTACTACGAACCAGGTTTCCATCAGGCTTTTAGTGTTCTTGGATTTATTAATATGCTAATTCTATTTTCAGTAAGGCCAGTGACTAATTTCAAAGTATGTAAAATGAATGACCATAAAATAAATTTTCCGAGATATTCATCACCTGTTATAAACCTATCAACAGTAATGAGTAAACCTTACTTGTTGAGTATGTTATGACACAAAACTCTGCATCTGCTGATGTCTTTGACGAGATAGCTAAAATCATACTCGTGACAAAGTTTAACTCTTTTTCAAATCCTACAGGACCAAGACTTCCTGATGAATCAACAATAAAACATATGTCAAGTGTCTTGTTACAATCTGAAACAAATTAGATAACGATTATTAAGATAGTATGCTAGTATCACAAATAGTGCTTTGAAAATATATAAAGTTACATAAAACTTTGTAACTTATGATTGTCATTATTAATTTTCAACACGTAACAACAAATTACATGGATTGTTTCAATTTTAGGAACAGACAAATACGAATTTACTTTAATATAATTGAACGAGAAGAACAACATTTTGTGAACAAAATAAAGACGACAATGGTCTTCGATAATGGATTCATGTTTCTTGAGAATTCGTTTTTCTTTCTTTACTTTTTTTGAAAGGTGTAACGCTTTACAATATGATTGTATATCGAATAGGTATGTACATGTATATTGTTAACATTTATCATCTACCTTGTGATGATAAAGTTGTCTGCACGGTGGAAGTTGGATCTTTTGTTAAATTTATTGATGAAGTATCTTTCGTTACAGAAACTAAAGGCGTAAAAGATGTTGTTCTGGTCGACACCTGACTTGTTTGAATTGATGATTTATCTTCATGAATAGTAGACACTTTTTCTGTCGATTGAACATGTACTTGAGCAGTAGACGCGAAGGAAGTTGTTACTATTGTTTTCGGGGATGTTGGATACGAGAAGATATCTGCATGTTTTGAAGACGATAGAGTTCCTGCAGGTGTTGAAGACGATTGAGCCCCTCCAGATGTTAAAGATGAAAGAGCTTCTGCAGATGTTGAAGACGCTAGACCTCCTGATAACGTTGTAGATATTTGCCTCCATGGTGATGTTGCCGACGCAGGTGGCTCTGAAAATGTGGTTGACGCGAATGTCTTTGGCATGAAGGTGGTGGTATATGCTGAAGATGCACCAGAGGCTGAAGTTGTAGTACTTATATTTGTTAATGCCATTATTGTTGACAATTGTTTTGTTGGTGTCATAATCTTTGTTTGATTTAGTTTTGAAGATATTGTTGTATCTGAAGTAGGTGACAGTGACGTAATTGTTCCACTGTTATGAAGAGTACATTTGTTGTTACAGAAGTCGTCATTGCAACATGTATGACAGGGTCCAGCAACGTTATTCAAACTAAGCTGCTCCATTGCCTTGCATTGCTGTAATATCAAAAATGTAACTTTTATATTTTGATACAGCTCAATTATACTTGAAAACGTAATTTTGCAGTACAATATTGTTTGTAATAAACACGCTTCGATTGCAAGGATTAAACTTGCCTCTTCTTTTTATAAACATTTATTACCAGTTTGCTTGTGTGGTGCATGATGATAAATCGGTTCTGAACATTATTTTATGTTTCTGTAAAATTCATAAGAAATAAATGAAATCAGTATCAAAGTAACAACAAGGATGTAACTAATGTAGGAATAACCAAGTAGAAAAAAGTGAAATAAAGGCAATAAGGCATGTTATGGGTATATAATGCTGTAGTTCCTTGTAGGCCCGTCCACTACATCCGGACAGTATCAGACATAATTTTGGTTAATTGAATCCACAGTAAAGGCATGGTCCAGCACGATCAAGAAGATAATGCAATCCCTACTATATTTCTGGCATTCCGAATAGAAAAAAACACCTGTTATTATAGCACCTAGAGGTATTACAGCGCAAGACAAGTTGAAGATAAAGGAAGGTGATTATTCCCAACCCCCAAACCCCCAACCCGCTTTATCACGCACTGTCAACCCCACCCCCCGCTTTATCATGCACTGTCAAAGCACTTGGGTCGAGAAAACAATTTAATACTGCATAAAGAATATAATTACTTACAAGTGTAGGCGCACATTCACTTTTCCAATCATGGCCGTTTTGTTGTAATGCACACATCTGTGTAAGGAAAATAAATAAATTAATAGACATGTAGTATTAAATACCAATGATGAGCAAATGCAACATTATACAAACTTTTAGCATTAATTAAATAAGCTGAAGACACTGAATTTGCAATTGTAGTTTATTCAGTGAGATCTTTCAGATATTTTTATATCAGCTCAGTCTACTTCATTTATTTAGAGATGTTTTATAATATCAAGTGGAAACTTAGTAGCATATAGAATATACAAATAAAAATAAAGTAAAACAGAATCCATAAAGAAAGCCCAACACAGCAAAATGTTGTTAGCTGGGCTGCATTCATGTGTACATAAATCATCTTTGAATAATATCAATATACTTACAATATTATGACTATTAGTATATTGCGGCATATTTTTATTGCTTGCTTTTTGGCTTAAACTTTAAACATTAACGAATACAAATTATGATAGCGGCATAGAATATTAACAGTACGTGGTCTGCATTGCAAAGTGTTGCATCCCGACAACTCGTAGGGTTCAGCTGGTGTTGACAATCGAAGCATATTGGTGGTCTTTGTTGCGGTTTTGAACCTAAGGGTAAAAAATGTTTAAAAGTGATGTTTGCTAAATACTTATCCATGGCATATTATAGATCAATATTTGACATATCGTGAATGTTTTGTTGAATGTTGTTTCTGTTTCAATCACGTAATAGCTCGACATTAAATCACATGTTTAGTGAAATGATTTTCTAGGGCATGTAGAAATAAAGATATTATATTGAATGATGAGAGTTTATGTTTGTGCTCTCAATACGCACCTATGAAAATGACAGATAAAACAAGTCTTTTTTTCTATTTGACATTTCAAGATATAACAAGTCGTAACCATCTATGCCCATGGCACTTTGTGTGCTGTTAAAATCAAATTTATTTTCTAAACTTATTATTAACCTTAAGATCCATTATGTTGCCATTTAGGATGCCGTTGCCTTAAGCAATTGTGCGAGCTGCGTTTTGTAAACGATGCACATCTAATTGCTTTATTTTCTAATGTTTTAAAAGTTATTCAAATTATTTTAAAACTGTCCTCGCAATTGAGCAGAACCTAATTTGTTTACAACTTATATAGGTTTGAAGTATTTCAAATAGATATAATTTTCCGAAATTTTGCATCAATAGGAGACATCTGTTCAAATCTTCCTGATAACTAATAATGAATTCCATGTCATTTTCTTTGACAAATCATTTTGAAAATCATGAATTTGAGAAATACTAAGAAATCTTAACTATATACTCAATCCAGTTCATTAAAATCACTTTGAAAGCAGCAAAAGTCTTTGTCAATGAATATCTTTTTTCAGTTTAAGTTCAGTTTTAGTATTCAAAATTTTACATTTAGCATTCGATGAAATTTTATCAATGACATCAAATAAAATTTAAGTTAGCAGTAGGAAAGTTTTTTTTTTCAAAATCATCTAAAAAATTAAAAATGTTGATATATACAGTATAACGATCACAAATCTTTATTGTTATAAATCACATTACTGAACAAGTACCTATTTGGCCACAGCCTACTATATTGCAAAAATCGTCTTCACAGCATTCCATACATGTAACAACATCTGTCTTAGACACTAAATTCTGACGTTTGATCAAATCACGACTTGTGACAGATCGTTTTATGGAACACAACATCGCCTGGAAACGCAACAATATTAAAAAAGGTGTATAGAAATATCAATTTTAAATAGATAATATGTCCATAATACTTTAACATTTTTGTTTTAACTTGTTTGGCTACTGTTGTTGAGATTCCAATTTTACTGTTTTATTTGGTAAAAGAGCAAGTCCGAGGGTTGCTATACTTTCTGATCTTTTAATTACATCGATCACATTTTAGAAATTGCAACTATTGGATGTATGATACGTTGCATATTCCTAAAGCCTCATCAATAAAGTCTGCAATATAATTCGCCTTTTAGTGTTTCTGTTATTTTCGTTAATTTTGTGGCCCTAGATTTTTCTTCATTTTTTTTAATTTGATTACATCACAAGGTAAAACTCGAAATATGGCAGAAACTTTAAAATTGTAACACTCAAAACATTTTATAAATAGCTTAAATATTTCTCTTTACATTCTTTTTATAGTTGCAAAAATAAAGTTCTAGCAATGTATTATGTTGACTTACAGAGGCACATCCGCTGCTATAGAGTATCAAACCTCCGCTTGTAACGACTTGCTCCACATAACACATACTGTTACCGGAACAAGTTGTTGTTATACGACAATCATCAGGGCGTGGAAGTTCCTGACATTCAAGACATTGTAAACTTTGAGCTATAAAATAAAAACTTTGTTTTAAAGTGTTACATTATACATTATTTAATTTTTAAATTATTAAAAATGATATTTTACTTCATATATGTTACATACAAATTTGAATCTAAAATAAACAAATTATTTCTGAAATTACTACACAATGTATAATAATAAAGATATATCGACTTTCCTTGTTTACAACAAAATAAGCTAAGAAAAAAGTATGTGCCTGCAACCAAAGTGCAACATTGTTTGAACATTTGATCTAGCATAAATTTAAGCCAATACCAAAAGCAAGGGTATAACATTTGTTACAAAATATATTTACTTAAGTTTCCGGTTATATTTACAAACGGTGTCTTTCCTGCTGTATTAACGTTCGACTGTTAATAAAATATTTTCAAAAATAGTCCAAATAAAAAAGGGACATAACTTCTAAACATTACTTTCGGATAATGCCCCTTGCCTAACGACTGATCCTTGTCATGATCTCAAGTATTCCAAATTTTATATTGAGAGCAATTATAGCTTTGAAATCATCATTAGATATAAGAGAATTTTGACAAAGACTCGATTCTAGTAAAACTGAATAATAACTCAAAAAACTTTAATTCAGAAAAATGTCTTTCATTAGTACCGTGTCATGATCATCAAGCGTTCCAAGTAATAAGGTGATACCAGATATAGTTTTGAAATAATTCTACCTCATAGACAATTTTGACAAAATTTTAAGTTTAAAAGGGGAATAACTCTTAAAATATTGTTTTCTTATTGTCTTAAAACTAACTGATTATTAAGAAATTTTGTTTATTACTGATTTTGCACGACGGCAAGAACGACGCAGTGATAATAAAATGTCGTATAGCTGGTTGCACAGGCTAATTAGTCATACATGCTATATTCAAAAAGAATGACAAGTCAACATGTATATACATATATTAGGGTTTTTATTTCTTAATGTGCACTATGGAACATGACATGATTTATGAGTATTATAGTGCAGGAGAAAGCATACGGACTGACCTTATGTCAGGAATGATTTATATATGTAACTCTAAAACGTGTTATTTATATACATTATAAAATGTCCTTAGGACAGGTTGATATTATATATATACGATTCTCAAATGTCAGAGAGGGAGTTCCAGTTTTGGTATTCCACTCGTTCACATGTGTGTTTGTATTGTAATATTTAAAAGTATTTTTAACATCCGTGATTTCTTCCCTCCGTTATACGACAACGGTTGATTTGGCGCCTAAGACCAGCCGATTCGAAGCACGATTTTGCACAGCGGGACACAACGAAAGTACCCTGAAATAGAAATTAAAGGTGAGTGAAACGTTTATATACATAATTTGCAATTTTGAAAAATGTCAGATCAAGATTTTAGCTACAATTTTTGAAAATTTTCAGATAAATTGCAACAATATTTCAACTGTCATGGTACACAGGTTATCAGAAATAGTACAAAATTTTGATGGAAATTCTAAAAATTTTGATGAGATAAAAACTATAGAAAAATATGCTATTTTAAAAGGTTTTTATAATAAAATAAAATTATTTTTTTTTAAAAAATTT